TACATCATTATATGAAGACAGAATGATATTTTAGGGTGAATTGTACCTTATAAATACAGTATGTGACTCTTTCAACACCATTAGAAGGTATCCCTGTCGCTGTGCAAAGTATGTAAATCACTGTGAAGACTTTAAAACTTAGGATGTTTGATCCAGTATGCGTGTCAAAAAGCAGACGAGTCTAAAGCAATGACTGTACAACCGAAATGTTGCCAGACGTCTGATTTTGAGAGGATGGGCCATCCTCTATTTCAGCTCCACTCATCTTGGTCTGCTAACATTACTGCTGCTGCAATCTGAACTCACGTGCGACAGCAGGTGGAACGTAGCTCACGTGCAAACAGCTCAACTAATAAGAGAAAACAGGCTTCGTATCGTAATGAAATCGTCATAACGCCACGATGCATATTGAGACATTTTTGCATCGCAATAAATCGTACAACGATAAATCGTTACACCCCTAATAAATATAAATTTATATCTAAATAAGTTTTAAATGTATATTTTAAACTAATTTATTTTTCAATGATAAACATGAAGATGAACATGGTAAAAAAAGGCTATTGAAACTGTATGTTATTGCCTTATTTAAACTGTCAGTCCAAATTTGGTTATTTGGGAATCTGGTTGAAATCCAGCCTAAATGATTGATTGTTCATAGACTCTGAAACTGATATTATCTTTGACTTCTAGTAATGAGGCTGCACTAGTGTGCATACACCAAAAAATAAAAAATAAAAATAATAATAATAATAACAGTTTTTGTAAAACAGGTTATTTTGCATGGTAACAATGTGTTAACATTTTGCTGGATTACTTGATCTTTTTATGTCTGTCTTTGCCAGTCACAACATTAAAAGAGATATGTAGGCTAGCCTATATATTAGTATATTTTAATTTCACACTTAGCTTGCCAGTTAAAATGCAAACTTATTTCTGATATGATTCTTAGCATGCTTCTTAGAATGTCTGATGTGTTTATCCTGTATTCGTTGCAAAAAAAAATTAAAAATCAATCAGACTGAAATAGATTTTGAGATATGCGATCTAATTAAAGAGATGGATAGTTTAACCCATAATTAAAATTCGCTCAAGAAACTTCTTAAGTTTTAAAACCACAAAATAAAAAAACAGAGGTAATATTCATTTAAATTTTCAAAGCACCTTTTAATTTAGCTTGAAACTATTTATAAAAAAAATACAACACATAAATATATAAATAAA